TATATCACCATTGTTTCTTAAAGCTGAATAGTACTCCATGGTATACATATACCACATTTTATTATAATAATTTAAAAATAGAGATATAATTCCTAATCCAAGTGAACATTGTCTTGATGAGTTAGTCCCAGATACTGCCGAACAGAGATATGTATTTTCAGATAGTAAGCTGGTATCAATGGTCCACTTTGGAAATACATCATAGACAAGGCTAGATGGTTGTTCCCGGTATATGCAACATACCAGATTTGAGAAATCATTGGTCATACATGTGTGGTAGGAGAGGATGAAGGCAATGCTTGCGACTAGAAGAGAAAATGCTCTTTTCTGGCCCCAAAGGCCATAAAAGTTGATTTCTTTCAAAGTTGATTCTGTTCATAGTCTAAGCATGGGGGAGAGAAATAAATAAAATTTAAAGTGATCTATGTTTTTCTGTATGTCCATTGGCTCTTCTGTCCTATGTTCAGCTGAATAGCCAGGACCCATGACTCAAATAACAGGTTTTAAAGTGACTCAAAAATATACATTCTTATGAGAAGAATATAGGGCATGAAATGCTAGGAGTATACAAGGAGCCCCCCAGCGACTAGTCACTTCCTTCCTACGGATGTGCCCTGTCTCTGTCATACTGGCACTCAGAGTGGTCTATGGCTGCTGCACTACTCTTCATCACAGAAAAAAGAGAATTTTTCAAAACTCCTGAGATTTATAAGTAACATGGAGAAAGCCAAAATGAGATCACATACTTACAGCACTTTCCAAGCTAGTTAATGACCTTTATCTGAACAGCCCAAAAGACTGTTTGTTTTTTGCTCAACTTGGCTGTGTGTTTGTCTGTGTTGTGTGTGAAATTTGTGTGCTTCTAGACTGTGTGCTCCAGAGATAAGAATAACGTAAGTCTTATTCTCTACTGCATTATAGAATCTGCACATAGATAATTTTTAATGAAATAAAATTTTTGATTAAAATAAACACATGAAATTTAAAGTGATCCATGTCTTTCTTTGTGTCTTTTTAGGTCTCTAATAGTGTTCCCTATAATGCCTTTCAAGATAGAGGCAACCTAAATTGTATTCTCATCTAATACTCTCCAAAATATAACATCCCACCTCTTTATGTCAGCTTTTCCTTTCCTTGTCCTCTTAGAAATGAATTCAGGGAGATCTAAGCCACGTCAGGTCCAATGATCCTATGGTGTATCATACTAGCCTAATATAAAGGGTATTAGGAGAATGATATCTCTTATAACGTCTGTAAATGGATACATTAGACTGACAACCCCAAAAGTTTCTCTCTTCTGTTCTTGTTCTTCCTTATATTGAAGAGATGTGACTGACTCCTTTCTAACCCCAAACAAATGTCTCTATGCATGTAGGGCTGGGAGGGTTGAAACATGGAAGCTACCTGAGCCGTGAGACCACAGTCCCAAACTCTTAGCCCCTCCTGGACTTGGTGTCTTGTCTCTTGGGCACATGCCTTATGGTCTCCCAGCATTCCCCTCCCTGGGTTTGCAAATGCTGCCACCTCCCCCTGTAGTCCCTAGGATTTTGCTCATTTTTGTTGAATCCATTTGTTTTACTCAGGGCTTCTTTTTGGGTGATTTATATTGATGTGTTTTCAAGTTCAGTTATTTTTTCTTCTATGTTGTCCAATTTACTCTGGATCTTGTCCAATAATTATTTTATTTTATTTTATTTTATTTTTATTCTAGGATTCTCTTTTTTTTTACAGTTTCAAAATATTTCCTGAAATTTATCATCTCATCTTAGAAGAAGGGATATGTTGGGCAGAAAGGCAAACAAATGTTAGTTTAATGTCAGAGGGGAGCAAGTTTCAGTCAAACTTTTGAGAGACTATTTCTTGGCCAGCAAAGAACCTATCATTTGAAAAGAATTCCCTCTGAGTTACCCTTAGAATGTGAAGTGGAACTTGAGAGAGCCCATCAAACTCTGAAAAGCAAGATATATGGTCATCATCCAAAATTCTACTGGAAGCCACCTTGTGACATCTTTTTGCCCTATTGTCTTTTGGTGTGTACCATATAAATGGGTTACAAAAGGTCTTCTGATTCCTACTCCTGGTCTAGATGGTTGAAACAAGAATATATTCTTGATGTGCTGGAATTACAAGTAGGAGATGTGGAAAGGCTAGAACACAAAGATGGTCTAGTTTGACCAGCTAAGGCTGGAAAGTTCCCAAGAGAGCTAATAGCTACACATTGGTCGTTAATGACTAGTCCAAAGAAGCCCACTCTCCTGGCTTGCAAGCTTTGCCTTTGTACTCAGTATATCTGTACATGAGTTATATGACAAATACTATTTCTTTAGACTTTGAGGCTCACGAAAGTGGAGACCTTATTTTTCATTCACTGCTATATCCTAGAGAGTTATATAGTATTTAGCATATAGTAAGTGCTTAATAAATATTATTTGGATAAATTGATATTCTTGGGGCTCTCTGAAAGTTTCTATATCAATCTGCATGTCTTTGGATATATATGTGTAATCTGTTGAACTTCCCAAGTTTTAATAAAGAAGGACATTCATTTCTCAGCTTTAACATAGAGAGGGAGAGAGTGAGAGAGAGAGAGATAGAACACACTAGTCAGGCGCACTCTCAAACATGAGAACTCAGGGTCACAGGTCTGCAGTGATGGTTGTCACCACGTGATAAGTTCCTGGAATCAGAGTCAATGTGCAGCTTCTAGCAGAGATCAGCTAAAGAAATTGGAACAGCAGGATCCTGGATAAAGGCAGGCCCCCAATAAATAGCACACCCTTATTTGGGGATTATACTAGAAGCTAAGCCTCAAGAGTGGGAGGGAGGATAATATTAAGCCTGTGTTGGACAATAGTGTAATAAGATGTATTTACACAGAGACATTGTTACAACACAGTCCATTGTCACCAGTAGATAAACCCAGTCCCTTCCTCATATACCCACAAGTAAGGCAAAGTCCCACTATCAAAACCATTCCACTGATTTCTTAGCCTAAAAACCTGCATGACATACGTAGATAAACTTACTCTTTAGCCTTCCTCATTTCCATAAGTGAGGAAGCATAAAAACAATGTTATTAGATTTGGCTCTTTCTCAGGCTTCCTAAGAAACTATGTGTGAAATAATTTGTATTAATTCAGAACATAAATAGCTACTTTCATTTTCTTTTTAGTAATTATCACTTATTTGTCACACTTGACCCTCTCAAGAACTTCCTGAAGCATGTATTAATATAAACACGTTCTACCGGAGAGAATAAAAATGGGAGAGGCTAAATCATTTTCTTTATGATGACACGACAGGGCTGGGATTCAATTAAGTGAACTAACTTTGCATTTCAAAGTCCTATGAACTTATTTCTTCATGCTGTCTTCCAAGAACATGAAGTCATCATCATTTAAAAATATTCCGGTGGCCATTTGTATGCTTGGGGAATGTCAGAACTGTTTTGGTAAAATAAGTGTGTGAGTTCTCTGAGCCTGATGAACCGTGAATAAAGGCTATGATTTGGATGTGGTTTGTCCCAACAAAACTCATGCTGACATTTGTGGCAGTGCTGGGAGGTGGGCCTAGTGGGAGGTGTTTGGGTCATGTGGGTTGATCCCTCAAAAATAGGTTAATGCCCTGTTGTGAGGGTTAGTTTGCTCTTGTTCTGCAGGAATGGTTTAGTTTAAGAGAGAGTGGGTTGTTAAAAAGAGTCTGGCTTCCTGGGCTCTCTCTTATTTCCTTTCTCCCATGTGATCTGCGCGTGTGCCTGCTCATCTTCCACTTTCACCACGAGTAGAAGCAGCATGAGGCCCTCACCATCTACAACGGTCCAATCTTGGACTTTTCAGCTACCAGAATCATGATGCAGACCAACCTCTCTTCTTTATAAATCACTCAGCCTCAGGTTGCTGTCACAGCAACACAAAATTGCCTAAGACACAGACCTCAGCCGAAATTGGGGCAGGGAGAAGAGATGGATCCTTAACTTTTCAAAACAGGTCTCTC